TGTGCCAGCTCTGGTCAGGTGCCCCACTGAAGCAAGTGAGTGGGGCAGTACCTCTTGGAGCCACATCCTCCTCCCTGGATGAGGAGGAGGAGTTTCCTGACCGGAGAACAGAAGGAGGTAATGAATCCCAGAGTCCAAAATCCCTAGGTGTCCACTGCAGGCCGATTGTTCCTCGGCTTGGCTGTCATTGTGTGCCCTGCAGTGACCCACAATGTGTGTGTGGCCACAGCCTCACTGATTTCCTAAWGAAGACTCCACATCAGGAGACCCTGGGAAATCAGTAAGGCTGTGGCCACACACAATCCAAAAACTCAGTGRTTTAAAGGAGATTGGTGTGTGATTTTCCTCATGAAAACCCCCCAGTGGTCCAGGGCCTGTGTGACAGGTAATGGTGTTGAAGACCCGAGTCATCCTTTTTCATGGCTCTGCCATTCCCTGGGAGAGTCCCCAAGGGCTCCACACCACTTCGCTTTGGTCTGCACCCAGCCGGCAAAGGGAGAGTAGATCCTTCCTGCTCACAGGGCAGACCCAGGTGGCAAGTGGCTGACTGGGCTGCCGGGAAATGGAGTGGGTGGCCTGTGATCTGCCCCTGACTGACCGTCTTCCTACGGCTAATGGGAACTCGCACTCTATAAGCAGTGCCTGGAGGAAGTAAGTGGAGGGGCTGGAATAAAGGAAAGGAGTTGAAGCCAACCCACTGGTGGCCCTTTCCTGGCTCTCTGTCTGTAGGACCCCAATGAGGATGAGCCCAACATCAGGGTCCTGCTTGAGCACCGCTTCTACAAGGAGAAGAGCAAGAGTGTCAAGCAAACCTGCCACAAGTGCAACACCATCATCTGGGGACTCATTCAGACTTGGTACACCTGCACAGGTAGGCCAAGACTGAGACCCACTCCTACTGGATAAGCAGTCTAGGTCTCTGGGCAGGGCAGAGAAGTCCAAAGCTCTGCTTCCAGATGTGGGTCATGTTCAGGTGAATCCTCTAGAGTGTACACCGTGGACCAAGACCTACTGTGTGCTGGAGATACAAGGAACAGTTAGGGGCAAAGATCCTGCCTTCACTGGCCTGCATCCAGATCCAAGCTGTCCAGTACAGTGGTCACTAACTCTACATGGCCATCAAATTTAAACAGGAATAAATCAGTGGTACTGTCTACATTGCGAGTGCTCAGTAGCCACCTGAGGCTGGTGGCTGCCACACTGGACAGTATAGAGAGAACATTTCCATCACTG